AGAGTCTCACAGCGTGAGGAGAGTGTGGACAAGAAGTTAAAGCCTACAGGAAGAAAAATAAAGAAATGAGGAGACTAATATATTGGGATAAAAAGAAAGGGACCCAAGGCATTGTGCCAGTGTAGACTAGGTAGAGAGCTACCAAGTGAGCATTAGAAAGAGGGAGGGGGAACAACATGTAGATTGTGGCTGAGCTCTGCTATACTGGATTTCAGGATTTGAAAATAAGGCAGGCCTGCATCAGAAAGTCCAGGGTATAGCCAGTAAAATGAGATGCTTACCTGAGCTAGGTAAAGATCACATAGGCCAGTAAGGCCTCTGTATCACAATTTGGGCTGTTTGGAAGGATGAATTAGAACAGAACGACTGCATAAGCTTCCAGGGTAATACTGTTTCAATTGATGATTTTAATAAAGTTTTGATCCTATATTTCCCTTTAACATCCTATTAATATATGTGTGTATATATATGTGCGTGTGTATACATATAGGCGTGTACATCCACACGTCTCCATATCCCTTTTTCTAGCTTGGAATATGATGTTACTACTACCATAACTAAGGAAATGTCTTGTTTAGAAGTCTTTTTAAACAAGAAGTGAAATTTCTGAAAGATAAATTTAATTTCAAATCCTAAAATCAACAAAAATTAAATTATCCTTTTATACTAGGCTTCCAAATAAAATTCAAAGCTGGCTTCTAGTTACGTTAGCATATAACATTAAAAAGGAAACATACAAACTACATACCTCAAAAAACTTTTTAGAAAAATTAATAATCATGCTCGTAGCCATTTCCTGACCTAGCCTCACATACAGCTAGCACTGTTTTCAATCAAACTAATACTACAAGTGATTAACAGTAAGACAAACTAGTTTCAATAAAATATGTTACAGAAACATATAATGCATTCACAAAAGTAAAAATAACTGAGTTTATGACTGTTTTGGACATTTATAGCACTGCTTTTCATTTACAAGAGAAAATGAGATTTATTTCAAATACGTTATTTCAAACGCTAATGAATTATCTAATTCTATGCTGGTTGTAGTATCATGTATATCACAATATTTCTTTAATTAAGCCACCAGTTAGATATTGGTATCTTTTCTTGTTATACAGATGTTAACTATTTTATGCTTGCTAGAGGAAGGTGTGACTATTACAATGACTAGATGCCTGAATGATTAAGAATGATAAGGAGAATTTCTGAATATCAAGTCCTAAGCCCCCACCAGCTTGTATTACATTCTTTAAAAAAAAGGGGTGGGGGGGAAGTGAGCATTAAGTTAAGCCACGCTTTAAAAAAAAAAAAAAAAAAACCTCCAAAACTGTTCTAGGATTGTCATAAACAATTGTAATTGTTGTTAATGTACCCTAAAGCGGAATGGCACAAATAAACCTAGACTGAATATCAGAAAAGTAACTCTTCACTACTGTTGCATATCTGCATGTTCAGAAAGCTTCTGAAGCATCCTTAAATTCTTTGATTATTCACATTTTCCTAACTCAAATATGAAACCATTAATTATAAAACATGACTTGCAGTATGTGGGCAAATACTAATTATACTAAAACCATAATTTTAAAATTCAGAAGTGATTTTTGAAAACACGAAGTTTTCTAGAATGAAACTCATATTTCCCCCAAACAGACTAATTCTTTGGCAAACTTTTCAGTACATATCATTTCTTTGGATGCTAAATGTTGGGCAAGTTTCTCACATACAAATGTTGTTTTTTATTTTCCAACTCCAGCAAATATCTAAGATTATTGAAATATCTAATATTAGTAATAGCTACCATTTATGACATCACTCTTGAAAGTCCAGCCATGAAGTAGGCATTATTCATATTAATTTGATTCTCAGAGTAACCCAATGAACTCCATTTTACAGAAAAGGAAACAAATTCTGGGAAGTTAGATAATATAACCTTGGTCATCTAGTTAGCAAGCTGCATAGCTCTACCTTGAACAGAGATCCCTTCAGCTCCAGCATCTATGTTTTCACTCTATATCTATATTGATTCTTCATTTTTGGCTAGTAATACAGTATATGTTATTGGTTTGTCAATTTACCATAAATCCTATGACATTTCCTCAATATATTTACACACAAAGGCTTAACAGTTTCGAAAAAACATCAACTCACCACTATTCTAGCACAAATGCTATATAATTCTATAATTATGTTAACTTTGAGAGTTAGTAATTATTTTAAAAATCAAATAGCAAAACCAGTCAATTTCAACCATATGTAGAGAACATGCTTTCCAATCCTAAAATACTCAGAAAGCAGTTCAAAATGCTTTTTAAAACCGAAGCTTCCCTATGTGAGGTAAGCAAAACCTAAGAGATTAACATATGGCACGTAAAATGTACAACCTGCACAAACTTCCCTTTTCTGTACTATTTTAACATCATATAATACTTAAACAACCCTTTTGAACTGACTTTAACCCTTTAAAACTGACTTCTATTTAAATCTTCATTATGTCTGTATAGATATTCAAATTTTACATATTTACAAAAGGCAAAAATCCACTCACTGTCAAAAATCACTATCACCAACGTATAGGTGGTGAACACACTAGGAGAGAACAAATATTAAAAAACACACTAGTGAGAGAACAAATATTTTACATAAAAGCAAAGTTCTAAGATTTCTAAGTGTCAGCATTACTGATTAACATCCATTTCATTGAAAGCATTGCAACTATACCTTGCAGGTATTATTACTACTAAATTATGTTTGAAGTCAGGAATTCTTATCATGTATGGATGGGTTAAGACAAGTTTAACAAAATTGTTGACTACATTGTGTATACCAAGGTATTTTAGTATGAAAGTAGAGAGTACAAAAATACAAAATTCAGAAAGTGAGTACCAATGTTTAGCATTGCATTTTCAGTAATATTCATATACTTTTCAATAATACATTTCAATAACACTCATGTATAGTACTTGATAAACCATTAGATGCCTTCACACCATGTTATACAACAGTGGTTGTGAGAACAGCAGAGGTGATATTATTTCCTTACTAGAGCAGAAAAATTGAGGCTTTGACTTTGGTCACTCGGTAGATTAAGCAGCACAGGCCCAGTTTAAATGAAGCCCAGGACATATGTTACTTTCCTTCTACCTTCACTTCCTCTACCGAGGAAGTGGATACACATGACACCATAAGGAATTTTAAAAATCTGTATCTGGATCCAGAAAAGCCCATTTGAAAAGAAGCAAAAATAAACGAAACTACAAAGTTACCCAGCACTATTAAAAAACCCCAAACGGGCGCCATTAAAAAAAATTCCATCTTCTTGGCCCTTGGCAGTTTCATTCCACTAGTTTTTCAAGAATTATTAATGTCCCTCATCCAACTAATATATTTTTTAGCACTTCTACATCCCAGGCACGGCTCTAAGCATTAGAAGTTAACAAAATGAAAAAAGAAAAAAAGAAAAAAAGAAAAAGCAAAAATGAAAATTTCTGTCCCCACTGAGGTTACATTGCAGGAGAAGGGAGACAATACGTAAAATTAGTACGCCTGATGGGGCAGAGGGGCTACACAGAAAAACAAAAAAAGGGTAACAAGATATGGGCGTCTGTGCTGGGGAGCGAGGGGGGAAAAAAAAACCCGTAGGTTGTTACACGTTCACCTCGCAAAGTTTATTACCCTCATTCAACAGCTGTTAAATAAGTCATCAAGATACTCCATACGTGGGAGGTGAATTTACACACTCCTGACATTTCCATCCTTTCATACTTCAAGAAACAAAAAGAAAATTACTCGACTCCTCGGCACTGCAATTCAGAACCTCGACTGACGGATCAGATCATATTTCTTGAGAAAAGGAAAAAAAAAAAAAAAGCAAAGAGTGAGGAGGGCAAAAGTTTGGTCACTGACGGGTAATACCCCCGCGAGGGCGCGAGCCCGCGAACAATCGAGGGCGCCGAGCCCGCGGCCACCGCTCGCTGCCCGCGGCCACCGCCCTTCCAGTGGGCAGCAGGACCCAGGCTCCCGGCTCCGGCGGCTCCTCGCTGACCCCCACGCGATCCCGCCGGGGATGCCCCGGCAGGCGGCCGGCGCCCACTGCCCCCCGCCCCCCCTCCAGACCGCCCGCCGCCCCAGCGGCCGCGGCCGGCCGCCCCCATCCCCGCCCACCCACCCGCGCGGAGCCAGCTCGGCGGCTCTGGGGCCGCCCCCGCCGGCCGCCGGCCCCTCGCCGGCTGCCACGTAACCCTTCGCGGGAACCAGGAACTGCGCGGCGCGGCCGGCGGGAGGGGGCGCCGGCGGGAGGAAGGTGTGCGCGCCGGGGATGGGGGCGCCCCCGGCCCCCGCGGGCGGCGGCCAGGCCCGCCCCGCCCGGGCTCCGCATCCCCAGGCCGGCGCGGGCAGGGCAGGGCAGGCCGGGCGGGCGGCACCTCCTCCCGGCCGGAGTCCTCGGCGGGGCCGGGCCGCGGGGCCGCGGCCGGCGACCTGGGCCGGAGCTGAGGGGGGTGGGGGGGGGACGCGGCCGGCGGCCGGGCGGACGGTTGGGGCGCGGGGCGAGCTCACCTCGAACATGAGCCCCAGCAGGAAGACCATCGCCACGCAGGAGACGATGTCCGCGTGATTCTGCAGGATGAATTCGTGGCTCAGGACCGGGGGGCTCTTGGTGCTTTTCTTGCGAATCGCCATGGCGAGGCCGCCGCCCGTGCCCGCAGGTGCTCCGCCCGGCTCCGCGCTCTCCGGCTGCTCAGCGCCTAACTGCCGCCGCCGCCTCCCCCTGGCTGCGCCTCAGAGCCCCGCCGCGGCCGTTTGCTGGGGCTTCACTTCCCATCCCACAGCCAGTACGCAGCCGCCGGGGCCGCCCGGAAAAAAAAAAAAAAAAAAAAGAGAGAACGAAAAAAAAAAAAAAAGACAGAAAACTGAGCCCACAGCGGGGACGAGCATGCGCACTGGGGAGACGGTGCTCTCTCGTGCCGCGGGCGCCTCTGTGCGCCCACAGCGCCACCTGGGGGCCGGAGGCCGCAGGCCCTCAGTCCAGCGGGTTTGGAGGCGTCTGAGCCGTGCGCCCCTGTGGCGCGTCGGAGCGGGGGTTGGGAGTCGTTTGGGGCTCGAGCGTTTTCTGCTTTCTGGGCCACTGGTTGAGTTCGTTGCGGGCCTGAGAGCGGCCACGCGCTGTGGCCTGCACGGGCTCCTCCTCGCCTTCCTGAGCACGCTGGGCTTTGGTGTCCCTACTTGCTTCCATTATTGATAGTTACTGTGGAAAACTATTGCCACCATCAAGATCCTCTACACCACAGGACTGCAACCTGACTGCATAAGGGTACAACCCATTTTTTTAAATTTTATCTCCTACCTTAAAAGTTAACTTCAGAGTTAAACACTGCTGGGAACTTTTTCTTCATAGACTTGAACTGTTTTGTGGTTTTAAAGAACAATTTCTATGTGGTCCTACCTACCCATCTTCATCCCTAGCCCCACTTGCCAAATCTAGAAACAAAGTCTTCCACAATGATGCCTTTCAGCGTCTTTCCACATGAAACTATTATCAAATCCAGGCAATTCTGTCTCCCCCCCCTTTCCCAGTGCCACAATCTCAAAAGGATGTTTACCTCTCCTTACAATTTACAAATCTAGTTAATAGCTCAGTGATTAAGAACATGGTTTTTTTAATTAGAATTTTACCACTTACTACCCGTATGATCATGTACAAGTTATTTCATTACTGTGAGGCTTGAATTCCCTTTTTTTGCCTATTCATTTATTTAAAAAATACTTATTGGATTTCTACCATGTGTTGACACCAGACGTACGGAGCTAAACATTTAATAGCAATTAAATGAAAAGATTCAAGGAGCGTGCTAAGTAGAGTTAGGGCTCCATATTTTTTAGCTAGTATTGTTTTCCTCCTTTCTGTTCAAAGGATTACTATTTTCACTTTCCTTCAAGTCACCCTTTAAGTTTTACATCAGAATGATACCTCTGGCAGGTTCAAAATTTCTCTGTCCTCATGGAAAGCAAGCATGACTGAATCCCCCTATGTGATTTTGACCCTGCCTACCCAAGGAGGTTCAAGCTCTCTCTGTAAGCTCCGGTCTCTTACCAGCATAACTGGCTTCACACAGTAAACATACTACAGTATACTGTCTTCCCATGTTTTTTCCTGGCTTTGTGCCTGCTGCTGCTTCTGTCTGCAATGTTTTCTCCTCTCCCACCATATACTCAGCAAACTCCTGTTGTTCTTTTAAGTCTCATATAACTGACCTCATCTTTGAAAACTTCCCTGACTTCTGTGACTGACCTAGGCAATCTGTTTTATGCTTTGATTGTAGTTTTAAAAACAGTTTTATCAAGATTTAATTTACATCACATAACCCACCAATTTCAAATGTACATATCAATGGTTTAAGCTATTTAAAAAGTTGTTCAACCATCACTATACACTTAACTATAGAATATTTTTAATCATCCCCTAAGGAAACCTTGCACATTTTACTAATCACTCTCTATTAACCTTTACAGTCTTGGTATTTGTTGGCAAGTTAATCTACTTTTCTTCATTTCTAGGTTTGCTTATTCTGGGCATTTCATGTAAATAGAATTGTGCTCTTTTTTTTCACTGACTTTTTTTGCCTTGTGTAATATTTTTGGGGGTTGTTCCACGTTATAGCATGTATCAGTACTTCATTTTTAATGCAAAATAATATCCTTTGTATGGATGTATCACATCTTATTTATCCATCCGTTGATGCACATTTGGTTTATTTCCATGTTTTTTGGCTATTGTGAGTAATGCTGCTATGAACAAGTTTTTATCTGAACACTTGTTTTCAATTTTTTTGGTATATATTCAATAACTAGGAATTGCTGGTCATAAGGTAACTTTATGTTTAATATCCAAAATGACTGCATCATTTTATGATCCCATCAGCAGTGTATTAGGATTCCTATTTTTCCACAACCTTGCCAACATTTGTAATTTTCTGTTGTTTTTTTAATGTATCTCTGTTTTGCAACCATCCCAGGCCAGGTAGGTTCACTGTCAGTTCAGCCAGCTTAAAAGAGAACCTTGGAACACTTGGCATCATCCCCATGGGTTTTTTAATAGTACGCAGGAGAAACAAGACAGTAGGGAGACATCAACTTGGGCCCCTGCGAATCTCTATATGCTTCTTCCTTTGGGCTTTCTCTAGTGTTCTTTAGTAGCCTCTTCCTCTCACAGTCATTGCTTGTCTTCTCTTAGCTATTCTCTACCACACCCGATCTCTGTGTGATGCTGCCCTTATATACTTAGCCTCCAGCCCAAAGGAAGAAGCATATAGAGATTCGCAGGGGTCCCACGTTGCTGTCTCCCTACTGTCTTGTTTTTATAATAATTCAGCTGTAGCTTGTATATCATTTCATTTTTGCAATTATCATACTGTACTTTTTTTAAATTGAGGTAACTGTAGTTCATTGTATATGATTTAGAAGTATAGGATCACACCCTTCATGTTATCACACTGTATTCTAGTTGTTGGCCAGTTTGTCTTCCCACTAGTCTGTGCTCCTCAGGAACAAGAAGTGTTTTTTTTTTTTCATGTTTATATTTCCAACTACTTGGCACTATGCTATCAAATTTTTAGTGCTCCATATTTACTAAGTTGATTGAAAAAAAAAAAGGTTGTACATGGTCTAGAATAAAACCTTAAATTAATTTACCTAACAAACATAAAATTGAATTGAAATATGGTTGTAAATATTTGCTTACTTTACAGATTAAAGAGAATTTCCAATGCTCTAAACAAGTCCTGAGTATGAGGGATAAAACTGTGAACAAGAAAAACAAGTCTTTTTTGTTGAAACTCACATACCTAGAATGGAAGACAAAGAATAAACAAGTAATTACTAATGTGGTCAGTATTTTCAAATTTTTCAAGACTTGCTTGGTGCTGGGTGCAACGTGAGGATTCAAGGTCATCTGGAAATTAATGTTCCACAAAATTGTCTTTTAAAACTGAAATTAATTCTTTCAGACCTTAACATTTAATTATTTTTCACTCTTCAATGAGAAAAGACTACCCCTCCCCCACTGGTCTTCTTTCAGTTACATAAACTTAACCATACTCTTTTTTCTCACAGGACTTGAGATGACCATTGAATTTGGCAAGACAGAGGTTGTGTGGTTGTGCCAGTTAATCCAGTTATCCAGGAAACAGATGCCAAGATAGAGAAGTATAAGATATTTATTGGCAATAGCATTTATAAAAAATAAAGGGGAGAGGAGTCAATAGGGAAAGACTTCAGACTATAATACAGGTTTACCACCTGTGAAAGGAAGGAAGTAACATTGGGTAGGGAGAGCCTCAGACTGGGGTGAAATCTGAGCCAGTTTTGGCCAGTCCATTGGGAAGTGTTTTCTTGGGGGTTGTAGAAGTAAATGGCTGATTGGAGAGGGTTCAAGAGAATGGGAAGTAGTAAGATGGAGGCATGATTGTAAGCAACTCATTTGAGGGGTTTTTCTTGTAAGAAGTGGCAAAAAAAATGGGTAAGTAGCTGGAAAGGGGCCCAGGGAAGGTGTTTGTTTTCTTTTTGGATGTCATCTACATGACATGTTTGCATGCAAAGGGAATGCTATATTAGAGAAGTTTCTTCTGCAGGAGATACTTGCAGAAGCAGAGTCCTTGGGTGTAGGTAAGAGGTGTTGGCATCGAATATACACAGTAACAAGGATGGGTACCCACAGAAACCACAGTTTATAGGTCAGTTGAACATGGCAAGATGAAGTTGTCCTTTTGATATTGCTTCTGTTTTCTCAGTAAAATGTGAAATGAAATCACCAGGGGATAGTATAATGAAATTTGAGGAGAGAATTGGGTAAAATTGTGGGAGAGTGAGTGGATTAGGGGTATGTAATCAGACAGCAGAGCCCACTTGAGACTTGTTGCATAAATTCAAAAACTAGTGAGCAGAGTGACATAATTGTTTCTGGTCATGTCCCCCTACTTGGATGTAAGTGAAGGCAAAGTGTTGGGTTTGCCAGAACCATGATAGAAGGGCAAGAATGTTGAGGATGTTTGTGAGGGAAGGAGTGAGGAAGGAAAGGCTGTCAAGGGGTGGTTGTGCTCCTGTCACCCTGAACTCTACAATCCACCCTTCTCTGTTGTAAAAGCAAACCTCTGCAGACTGTATCACTGAGGCAGCTTTGTCCTCTGGCTTCTAGTTGAGTCTGGCCAATGAAACACACTGGCTAAAAATCAGAGGAGAGAGTTTTAAGAATTCATTCTCCTTTGATCTTCTTTGCTTTCCTATGGTTCTGGCAGTGTCTGTGTTCTCCTGTGACCGTAGCCCTTGCTAGTTAAGCTTCCTCTCAGGGTTCTAGCTTGCTTTGAACTCAATGATTTTATTCTGTCCCCTATGTCTTCAGGCTGTTGTAAATAATGGTTTCTCACAATCTCTCAGGGCCTTCCTGTCTCTTGTTGGTTTCCTCAACCTGCCCATTCCTCCACTAGGCCCTTCATTAAACTCTTTCCAGTTAAATTCTTCTGAGTGTGCATTATTTACCAGTTTTCTGATAGAGAATAGAGAAATAGTGCAAAGGCCTATTGTGAAATAGTGCTAGTTGACAGAAGAGGAAGTTGTTAGGGATAGGTTGCTGGGGATGAGTTCAGAGGTTATGGGGACATTAGTAATGAAACTGGAAGGGTATGATGGAGGACACTGAGAGTGGCTGAGATGAAGGGAGGAGGAGTACCTTGAAAGTAAGGAGTCAAGGCATCAGAGGCAAGAGTGCTCAACACACACTTTACATGGTAAGTCACCAAGAATGATCTAGGAGTAAATGACCAACCAGTGAGTGGGCCAGGTGCTCACACTGCACATGAATGGAGTCAGAGAGGTTAGCAGGTGATTGCCATGGAGAGTGGGTAGTGGGTAACATAGTTGGAGGACATAAGCTTCCAGAAAAGCTGAAGGTTTTGAGCAACAAAGGAGAACTGTTAGCAATTAAGATCATGAAAATCACCCACTCTACCCCTAAGCTCAGTGGTATATGGGGCGTGGGAAGGAGAGAACAGCTTCCTTTTAGGAAGACTATAAGGAAAGCAGGTTTTAGTTGTCAGTTAGGGCTGCTCCCAAGTTTTGGCACAGAGGGTGAAGAAAACATTTAGAAAGAGGTGGGGGGTATAGAGGATTTAGCAGATGATGCAGTTGGGGGGCTCGGGGTTCCAGTGGAAAGGTTTTGGGGAAGAGAAGGTAATGATGATGAAGGGCACTGTAGAGTCTTCTGGAGGGGACTAGGGAGGGACGGTTCTGAGGCATGGTGGAATTATCCTGATGGTCTTTTAGGGGGACATAGGGGAATCAATTCTAATTTTACCTTTCTTTTTAGGGATTACTTCTTAAGTTTCTAGGGAAGGATGACCTCCTGAGGGTGGGTCATAGTGGTGAAGAAGGTGGTCTTACAAAAGATCTTGGGGCTCTGGAGACCTCTTTTAAGCAAATCGATTGCTTATGAGTGTCCAGCTCTGGAAGCCATTCTCTGGAAGCCATTGTGTGTCCAGCAGGGTGCTGACTGCTTTGAATAGTAACCATTTTCTAGATGAGTGCTATTTTGTAAAATGTAGCTTGGATTTTGAAATGTTGGGATTCTTAGGGCACTTTTCGTGATTTAAAAAAGAACAGAAACAGTTATTTGGAATTGGGTCTATTCAGGAAAATCTGTGGCATAGGGTTGCTATAATTATGAGAAAAAGGAACAGAAAGACAATCTTGGCCTTCAAAGAGATTCTTTCTAGCTGACTATACAAGATACATATAAGAAAGAAAAACCAGTTCTGAGATAATGTGAAAGTGAGTGCAAGAAAGTGCCTAATAGAAGAGTTGAAATCGAACTGTTGGGTTGCAATCTCTTCTAGGAGGCAAAAGAATGAAGAAACTAATGTCTGTTTCATGCCTACCATGTTCCAGGTGTTTGCTTTCACAAGTTATATCATTTAGTCTTTATAGAAACCCTATGAAATAGGTGTTATTATTTTAATTTAAAAATGGAGAAACTGAAGCTCAGAGATATTAATTTGCCTAAAGTCACAGGGCTAGTAATCTCTTTGTCTGCCAAACTCATTTTTGTTTCATATAAACAGTCACCCAGGATCTTCACTTTCCAGGAAGACCCTGAACTTCTAAAGAGTGATGATTCTCAACTTAGTTTATTCAAGGGACTGGCTCCTGCCCTGATAGAAACAAAGCCCTTCACCCCCTTATCACCTCCCAACCCCTTTTTAAAGGAAGTCATTTAGCTCTTTACATGCTACTTATATCATTTACAGTAAGTTTAAAAACATAAAATTGCACTCATATCATGAGGAAATTGTACTTCTATGAGGAAGCAAAACTACTCCCTGAATAATTGGATATTCTATAATTTTCCTGAGTATACATTTTACTGCTGTGGAATCTACAAACCAAATTTATAATCAATGTTGTTACTTGTAGGTAGGATTGATTGGAGATGACACATCACACTCAGAGGTGGACCTGGCAGTTTGAGGGAGAGCTGGTTGTTAAGGGTCATGCAAAGTCTGTGATGCACCCAGACTACTCCTGTGTCCCTCTAGGAGTCAGGCTGTGATCCCACCTCTAGAAGAGTGAGGAGCCTAAGGTGGAGTTTCACTCCTTTTTTAACCTATATTTGACTTCACTTTATTTAGCTTCTCTTTATTTAATAATCAAGGGCCTGAGTTAATACTTACGATGGATGAAAGATCAGTTTCAGAAAGTGGTGAACGCAAAATAATTAAACAGAAATAGGAAGTGTAAATGCTTTCAGGAAGTTTAGCTTTATAAAAAATACTTAGCTTTGAAGGAGGGGAGATAGCAGGGTATGTACTAAGGAGGAATAAGGGAGTTAGGTTTGGTTTTATGTTTGCCTTTGTATGATGTGACAGTTGAACATATTTAGATGATAAGGAGGGAAGAGAGGGGAATGTTGAAGAAATTGGGAGAATGGGCAAAGGTGGAAAAAATTGATGAAATGATATCTCTGAGGTTTGGTATCTACCTGAACAGAACAAGAACATTAGCATTACTTAGGAGAAGATAACTCTTTTCCCACTGAAAGGAAGGAGAGAAGAAGGAAGTGCACTGGGGACAAGGCAGTGATTTGAACTGAGAGTGGATATTTTTCCACATGGGTGAGGAGATCAGGAGGGGCAATGCAAGGAAGACTGTGAGCCAAATTCCTGTTTGAATGAATGAGTGGGGAGTAACAGCAATAGGGGTGGAGGGAAAAATGGCTCGGTAAGGGGTTTTTCACGAGTAGGGTGACACTGTAATGTCCTTTCAAGAAGGTCCTAATTCTCACGAACTAACAGGAGAATGGTGGTAGGTAGGTTCCTGGGAAGGTTGGCACATAGGAAACACAGCTACAGATTTGGGGGGTACTTTATAAGGTAATTGGGCACTTAAATCCCAAGGTGGTCATCCAACAGATCACTTTCATCTGAGGAGAATGAATAATGAGAGCATTCTGTGCCCAATGCTTTCCCAAACTGCTTCTAAAACTAGATGGTTTTATGCCTCAGGGAATTTGTGATTTGTTAAACTGAGTTGATACCTTGTAGCCACCAGGGTGAGCAGACAGTTCCCTGACTCACCCGGTGCTTCCCTCAGCAGTGTATTTCGTCAGACTGCCTATTCTGTTCCCTGCTTTGTCTATGGTGAATCCTCTCACCCTCCCGAGTATCTGGCCTATACCCAGGTTCTTGTATAAATTAAAAAAAAGAAAAAGAAAAAAAGAAATGGTGGCTGGCTCATGAGTAGTTTAACCAAGGTCCTGGGGAGGTGTCCAAGAATTCTTTGGAGTTGTTTTCTTGTTCACATCAGCCAATGTGTAAGATAAAGCTTACAGTTTATATCAAAACAATTAAAATGTACACAGTTCTCTGCAGTCCCCAAAGCAGTTGATATAAATTATTAGTTTAGCTTCATATCAACCTAGAACATAATGTTTATTGCTATTTCAAAAAATGAAACATGCTCAGTAAAATAACTTGTTTGAAGATAAAGAATGTGAAATTAACTTACAAAGTTATGGTAAGATTTTACACAAGAGTAACTATGGTATTTTGTGGAGTTTAACTGGTATAGATCAAAGTGAACTACTCACAAGAGAATATGTGAATGTATTCTGTTAACAAGAACAACAATGATAAAAATAAAAAAAATAGCAATTTTTT